GCAATAAATCAACAGTAACTGGACTTTGCTTGCCGCCTGCTTCTTAATGGTTTCTTGACTGGTTTACTCTTAAACCCTGAAGATGGAGGCATTACATTGCTCTGAAACGTCGGAGTACGGCCATCGGATTACCTGGCGTTAATTCAAGAAGATAGTATTGTGCATAGTCAAAGCTGTAAGAACCAGAAATTTAATATCCATCACATGTTCAGAGCCCGTGTCTGGAACATATCTTGAACCATATAATTTCTTGAAGCTCCATTTTAATATTATCCTCTCATCTACATATAACTGTTCCAAGTTTTATGTTCCCTTCAGGTTTTCCGACTGCGGTATTGTAAATAGTTCTCATTTCACTCATGAGTGATACATGTCCGGTCCAGTCTGATCTTCCGGTGTTTAATAATTCTAATAGCATTTGATGAAGAGCATAATTGTTGAAGATCCTGACTGTGTAATTATTTCCATCCTCTCGCTGAGCTACATTCCTTCTTCAGGGTTCAAATACTGCTTTCAAAAACCTTCACTTCACACAGTATATACCCAGCATCAAACCCCGGAAGAAAACAACCAAGTAATTTCCTCAGTTTAGGTCATATTCTTCTTTGTCAACAGCCGCTGTGCAAAAAACAAAAAAAGGCAAAGTTGTCCCTGTGTTGAATTAGTTAAGCACTGAGCCATAAAGATGTATGGGGCAGTGGAGGTATAGCTCCACCGTTCTTGACCTCGGCACTAGATGGAGGTGTGGTCAGTTTCACAACCCCGACCGCTTTACTCCGGGGAAAGAATCCCCTGTACCTATTGGATAGGAGAGTGGGTGAGTCCCTGAGCTGGTTTTGACGCTGAAGAGAAGAGAAAAATCTTTCGACCCCGCCAGGAATTGAACCCCGGCGTTCTGGCCGTAAACCGTCGCTATACCGACCGGCTGTCATTAAACTAGGATAGACATTTAGAAGACGTGGAAGCTAAAGGCAGCAGTTTCCTTTTTTATTTACATACTCGAGAATTAGTTTTACTGCTGCGACCTTCTGTTAGTCATGCGGCGTGAGATATGACCCCAGTCACATGACCAGCGCTGCCGCCACTCCTGGTTAAATAAAAACAGAAAGCTTGACCCGCATTTTTAGTTGAGCTGCATCATCCCTAACGCATGAATGGAATCAAGGACATAACTTTATATTTTTGTGTCCATGTAATGATATTTATTTACATCCATAAAAAGAATAGTTTCATGTCTGTTCGTGCTACTTTCCAAACAAGGTGTGGTTTTTAATGTCGAGTGAAATTCCACGTGTAGGCTTATTTTTTGTAATGTACATAATTGTGGGCTACCGCTACCTTTGGGTTAGGTGTTCCGGAATCCGACTAACCGGTTGGACGGGGTCAAGGCTACCTCGAATTGGTGATTACCACCAAGAGACGGGGTGCAGAGGGCGTGGAGTTGAAACCCACCGTATTCTTAGCCTGGGCTGTCAGCGGAATGAGTGGTCACAATCTGCCAGCAGGACGAAACAAGGCGTTGAGGGTTTGGAAGTTTTCCTTTTGTATCATTACATATCTGCCACGCCGAAAAACATAATACTGCAGGTCTAATAGATGTAGAATTCAATGAAATGTAGTATATATTATGCCAGCTTTAATTTTTTATGTTATGAGTTATTTTTAAAAGTTTCATTCAGCGTGGGTTTCACGTGGGTAGATGTTACATTTGCTAGGAATGCACAACAATTAAATCTGCGCAATATCTTTCAGTGTGAACACTTGTATCCGTCGATCAATCTCGAAAATGAAACTTGCAGACTAACAGACATATCCTCCCGCATTATGCGTTGAACGAAATATGCTTTGTACAAAGTCTGAGAGATAGCAATATTTTACAGGGAATTGTTACGAGAACGGTGATTAAATTTCACACATTTTAAATATTTACGTCTCGAATAACAATTATTATACAGGAGGTTCTGACGGATACGAGAAAGTTTTGCGACGTCAGTTAATTTATTTCATCCAAACCTCAAATATGAAACAGATCGACACAGCGGTTACACGTCTGACTCGCATTAAGAAGGTGCCCTATTCGAATCCTGACTATGAATGGCTTTCTTCCCAAATGAGTTTTCTCACAATTTTCTTTAGCCCCTCCAGGAGAGTGCCTAAAAATTGGCCACGATTACATCTGACGACAAAATCCTTCCTCATTCATCGTTCATACACAACCTCATATCAAGAATGTTGTACAGTAGTAACAGTCAGAGTCAGAATAACTTTACGACTGGCGGCTTTCCACCATTAAGTCCATCTTGGCGACAAGCCCTTTGAGACTTACGACCAGCAATTTTTTTCAACTGAATACTTGCTTTCATAGTCCTTACGCAACATCCTCTCTTACGAGAGGGTGGGTCTGTAGTTTACAATTGTTGCTGGTCCTCGCCAGCACAGTCATTCTCAGGTCCGACTGCCGCGGGACTCGTGACCACATTTTACTGTCTCAAATTTGAGGCTCCCCAAACCTGGAGGGTCAGTTCCCCATGTATAAAAATCCCCCAGGAACAGGGTAGCCCAGTTATACCCCTATGCACTGGACCGGGATATAGATCATTCCCTTTGATTTACGTAGTTCTCTTCAGTATCTCTGGCGAATGCGAGGAAATTTTTCGAACGGGCCACTGCCGTATTCTTCCCCGTACTCATCTACTCAAAGTTCATTAGTGTTTTACACTCTTATGGAAGCTATACAATATGTGCATAACATTTCATGAACATTACTTCAAAATTTGATACAGGATGCACGAAGTAACGAAAAAAAAAACATTTGCAAGCTCCAGGCCTGCTTAAGCATCACTCACTAGCCGTCGGTACCGTTTCAAATTAGAATATTTAGATTTTTGTACAGGTTCTTTAAGAAGCACATAGTTGCTCACACTTTCACGGAACCCAAAGGTTTATCAGCGTATCCAAAAAATATCTCGACATCAAACTTTATTTTGAGCCAGTTCAATCCAGTCAGCACTGTCGCACACGGTTCCTCTAAGATTCATGTTAATATCATTCTCCTATCTAAGCCAAGATGTCCCAAGTGGTCACTTATTTTGAGATGATCTTCCGAATAAACTTTGAATTTTCATTTCCCCATGCATGTTACATGTTATTGTCATCGTTATCGTAATAATATTAGGCGATAAACTGTCGGTACGGGAAGGAAGCTGTAATATCGTCGTCTTCAAATGCATTACGTTGCTATGGAGTGATCGTTTGAAACTCAGCCTTTCAGGTTCAGTGTTTATCCTGCGCATCCCTTCACACTGCACCCTGCGCACAGCTTATACACGCAGGAACACTGCGACTGGATTCAAACTCATGAAGAAGTAAGCTTGCAAGATGATAGTATCCGATGATATGATTATAACGATACTGTTCCGACATGTTATTTTGGAAACGCGGATCGACTCTCAGATGGGTCAGCAGTTATCATCCTGACAGGAATATCATGGTATTCCTGGGCCCTCTCGGAGAATAACTTCAAACAAGCTAAGATTTTAATTTTTCTGTAGCCCCACGTACTCATATTTCTATCCTACTGGGCATTTCGAAAAACAGCTCAGTTGGTATATCACCAGGCTACGGGCTGGGTGGCCGAGAAATCCGGGTTTGATTCCCCGTAGAGCAAGGAATTATTCCCCTAAAAGCTTCCAGACCGTCTCTGATGCCCATCTAGCATCCTATGCAGTTGCTACCGGGGTTCTTTCTCGGGGGTAAAGCGGCCATGGGGCGAAGCTGACCACTCACCTCCATTTAGTGCCGAGGCCAAGTTATGACGTATCTACATCTCCACTCCCCATAAGTCTTCATGGCATGGCACTGAACTTCTGCCAGACTACATGGCGTCACATTGCGGAAGGAAGACTCTTCATAGTCATAGTCATCGTCATGGGAACTTCGACCATAACAGCCATATGAACCGGTTCTGGCCTCAGATTTTTATATCTGGTCTGTTCAATTCTTCGGAGATCTTCCTGTCCTTTGTAGCTTTTGATTTGTACTTTAATATTTTTAGCCTAAGTTCCTTATTTTCAAAAAAAAAAAATAATAATAATAAAAGTAGGCTGTGTCTGTGCATCCTCTACCTCCAACGACTTTTGAATGCCTAAATCAGTCTTCAAGAAGCTTGGTGTGTATATCATGGCACCTGAGCCCAACTGAACGGCATACTTCAAAATGTCTCCCATCAGTCTGTGTGTATGTATATGTTGCTAGGCAACGGCTTTGGTGAAAAAACTTTATCCCGACATCGAATACACATGCAACAATAGAAGAATTGTTAGACGCGTCGTTTTCTATGCAGTCCATACAGTATCAAAGGGTAGTCAGTGAGTCTGTGTATCCCCTTAGCGTTGCTAGGCAAGGTCTGGTAATACGTTCCCGCGACAACGAGGAATTGCTCTTGAACTGACAGTTCACATTCCCGTGTGGAGGCGGGGTCGAATCCCTCCACCGTGACCCTGCGAGTCGTAGGAGGCGACGAAAAGGGAAGTCTCAAATCTGAGACAGTAAAATACGGTCGCGAGTCCCAAGGGACTGGAACCCGAGAAAGACTGCGCTGGCAAGGACCAGTAGCATGTAAAGAGACATACCCGTCTTCTCGTCAGAGAGGGCGACCCACAAAAAAACAAAACCGCGACGTTCAGCAGTAATAAATATCTGGTCATGATCCCCAGACAGGGCTCGACACCAAGACTTACTGACTGACTGACCGTCAGTCGCAATGTGACTTGGACTTGGAGGAATTGCTGGAGTAGTTTTCTGTGCGGTCCGTGTCCTATAAAATGAAAGTAAACGATCATTTCTTCCCAGGACTTCTACTTACACACCGATTTTAAGGAGCCATTTTGCTGGACATCACATTCTCTAGTTAAAATGACCGAAGAAAAAGAAAAAATCACCCAAAGAAGAGAAATATGAAATCATGCTGTGAAATTAGACTTGTGTTGTTTTTGTTGCAGGAACAAGGATGCTGTGGGTCCTGGTGGTGGGCGCCATCTTGCTGTTGGTGTCGCCCCCCGCCTGCTCCGTGAGCACCCTTCAGCGAGGACACAGTAAGTCAGCATGACACTGCCACTCAACTATCAGTGCCTTTAAGTCAGTGGGTCTCAACCTTGGTCAGACTGCGGCCCGGTAAAGTCTCCTTTCTATAAGATGAGAGCCCGGTATAATTGATGCCAGGGCCCGGTACCTGGCCGCGGCCCGGCAGTTGCTTTAAGTGGCGGATATACACCTCGTCAGCATGTAAGCATGAGGAACTGTTTGCGTTTGGTACTAGGTCCATAAAACTCCGCCATGTTAATTTGGATAAGTGTCCAAGGAGACATTTGCGATTGCTAGGAATTTAGGACGGTCTGTTGCAGATTCACAACTTTATCGCTGTTGACAGTCTCTTTTTCATGTACACCCCGCCTGTTTTATTATGCCCATTAAAATATACAATATACAATATCTGTATGGTCCAGCTACTGCAGTAAAACCGTTCGACAGATGCACACAGTGGCTGCGGCGTCGGAACCAACAGACCGAGACGTTTCGGCGGCTGCTGCGGTAGACTATAGTCGATGTCGCAGGTATTACGCAGATTCTGAAAATGGTTGGCGTGAAACTGGTAGAGCTTTAAATAACAATGAAACAATAGCACACTGAGGATATTTGTTTGCTCTACGATAGGGATAGACCAGGAAGGTTGATCCTTACTGCAGAGACTTTTAGTCCTATCATCATGTGTCGTTATTTTGTTTTACATTTTAAAATACTTAAGATATTGGTGGGAAAGCCAGAAGGAAATATACGCGTACAAGGTAATGAACCTTCGGGTTCTATAAAATGCTGGGAAGTTCAAGAGTTCACGAGCCTGTACTTACTGAACATACATATTTATTTCAGATTCTGCAGATTCTGTACACAAATGTGTGAAAAAATACTGTTCATTAGTAATCGTCATCAAACCGAGAAGTTTGGCATTGCTGCTATGTTCTTTTTTACATTCTCCAAAAAAAAATTATTCTAACAAAAGTTAAACATTTTTTGACAATGCATCACCATTTCGGGATCCTAAGTTTATTGACGCTTGGAGCTTAATAATTTCGCGAGTATGTCATTCCATTATTACTTATCGCAAGAAAATAAGAAGTAGGCCTAAGACGTTGAGATGGCCTCCAATAGTACCAAAATAACAAACTCCGTGTCCTGTAGTCCGCAAGCAAACTATACCGACCGAGCGACGGCCGCTTGTCGGCGAAGTTAGCTCGGAATATATGCCATCTGCTTCAAAAGTTAAAAAGAAAGGATATACAGACAGCGTGAAGATCTCATTAGTCGATTTTCTTTCCTGAAGAATTGAAAAGGTCTTAAAGAAGTGTCACTATAAGAATGTCCTCTTCGTATTCCATTTTGTTCTTCACATAATTTATCCTTACAACATTATTATATGATACATACTCCATGAGATTTATTTCCTCGTCACGAGTAAATATATGCCACTCGTTATAGAACGAAAACCGAGTGTGCTTCTCATAGGAATGAAACTTGCACCCCGGCATATATTGCAGCAGTGACAGACCGACGTTACAATCGCTGAGCGCAGCAGTCGTAATGTTTTCGAGTGAGATTGTTCCTCAAACCGAGCTAGATGGGATTCTGCGATAGAACTCCATGTCTTCCTGATTTCGACGTCATAGGTCTACTAAAAATCGTACAAACTGGCAAATGAGAATTATGCCGTTGCAGTTATTGTCACGTGGTGAGAGATAAAGCAATCACCTTCGATATACGTTTCTTCTCGCGAGGACTCCAATTTGCAAATTCGCTCTGTTGGAGCATGTGGTGTTGGACTTACGACAGTGAAACGTGTTATTTTCGATGGAGTGGAGTATGGGGGAGATAATGATAATTAACAATATGAGCAGACGCAAAATGGCAGTCTCATTGCCCTATCCGTCACCTGTTTGACTCCAGTTTTAGGTAAAAGTGAACGCTCGGCTTCCCATTCCTCTCTTCATCACCCTCATTGCAATTAGGTGCGAATACCCATATTTGGTCCGAAAGGAAGAAGATATCAAGGTAGACCAAACTGCAGGTGGCTTGACAGAAAACAAGATCTAAAATACTGAATTCCAGACGGGAGAGGGAGTCATGGGAAGGGATAGTCGAGGATGCCATGACCCAAATCGGGTTGTAGAACCGAGATGAGGAGAAGAGCTGGGTGTATGATGTTGCCTTAGCCTGTGAGTCCCTCTGGACACCGGGATGATTGTAAAAGAAATCACAGTCCCTACCGGATATCGAACCTTGACCATCTTCTCAGTAGTTGATAGAGGAGCTGATAAGAAATGGAAACAATGCAAATCTGATGGTCGCGGTATGCGCTCAATTATAATTATAAGCAATCGCTTGGCGACATTGAGAAAGTCTTGAATAATGTCACGCGGGTAGACGCTTCTGCCAAAACGCAATTCAGTGACCAAAAAACGGCCTGTGTGTTTATGATCTGAAAGCGCGCTTCCGAGTTGATCAGCTGGTCCTGCTAATTATTAGCCGAGTGAAATGGGCATAGGTGCCAAGATTATAGTTAGGGTACCAGGCCAAAAATAAAAGAATTCACTTAAATATATCATCTGCATATAACCACCAGCAGCAGATAAACCCGAGACACAGAAACATGAGCGAATGTTAAGGAAAAAGAAAACTGAATAAAAAGTTACATCGTCACTGGACTCGAGCACTGAACGACCAAGGCGCAGGCCCAGAAGAGATTGTAGGTAAATCTCTACTTATTTTCATACTCGGAACTTAATGAAAGTGACTAGTCAACGCTTCAACAGTTTACGCTCGACGAAGTAGCTCATTGTACTCATTCGATAAAAGGGTAAGTTGTAACATGGGAGCTTAGCACAGGGCAAAATGTTTGACCTGGTGAACACCGTACTGAACCTTCGAGTTCCATATAAACAAGATGTATTTGTTGATCAGGTAAATAATTATAAGCATTTCAAGAAACACTCTGTGCCGTGGATTGGGTTAGGTAACCTTTCAGCAAAGGAGTGCTGTCGTTGCGTTGATTTTCTGAAGTGTGTTTTGGACAGACTGTCACAATCCACCGCAGCTTTCCCCAGCAAAACCAAGGAGCAGAACACACACAATAGATAACTCGCTGCCACCTAGCAAAACAAAAGGGAGGTGTGGTACACTTGTCGAGTCAGGACCAACACGTGGCCACGTCTCCGTAATCCGTGAACTGATTTTTCGACCTATCCGAGCTTGAATCTCTACTGAGTCTTGCAATGAAGGAATCCTCACACATAATGGGGGCATATCTAATTGAATAAATTTCTGGTAGAAGAAACTGAAGGTTCAACTCCGACAAAAAGAAATTCCGCCACTGGGCACTGTTCTGAGCCTGTTTCATCCATGCAACTTATTTACCTAAGGCCCTGCTTTAACCCTTTAAATCCAAGTGGTTACTATATGTACCACATGCGTTAACACAATACACTCAGCATTCTGCCAATAGAATATATGTATTTTTGTATTTAATATGCTTTTCACTATAAAGAGCGTTTTCTTTCTCCTAAACAACACTAACCGGTTGGTCTTTGTAGCGGAGACGTAACATGTTCCTTGTGAGTTGCGAAATGAGCTCTTATATATTATTTAAAAGAAAACGAGTCCTTAAAGGATTATCTTTCACCCTTTTCACAGTCACACAATTGACCGTTTTCTAAGAGTGTACATGTTCGGCTGTAAATCGATATGGAATTCCGTGTTGAGATCGGACGTATCACATCAAATTATTTTATTAATTTAGAATTTTTAAATTGCCGGATATCAAATTGAATTTCAGTTTTAAACACCATATGCTGTCGTTATTTTACTCCTTACATGTATCAACTATAATGTACGTTGTACTTTTAACTGCAACTTTCTAAAACGTTTAAATAATAGAGTTCAATCTTATATAGCGTATATTGCCTTCAACTGAATTACGACACTTTTAAGGTTATTATCTTCCTAAATATCAACTGACACCTCCATCCAAATTGACTGCACAGGTTTCAATGGTTTTATGTAAATAAGAGTAGTTTATACCACCAAGAAATTACGCAATATATCGTTATCGAATATATTCTCGCCGGTAATATATCGATTTGTCGATATCAGCTAGGATACAAACTTAAACGTCACAACATCCAGTATGCTGGTGTTGACTCCCATCCTAGTTGCTTACCCAACTTATCGTTTCGCCTACGCCTACTGCTCATCCTGCAATATGCTAATCTACCAACTTACTTGATTTCTTTGCTCTAAGAGTTTCATTTTCAAGCATATACAAAATAACTGACATGATTGCTTTTATGTAGAGTGTAAGTGAGATGAGCGGGTGAAGTTTGGGCACAAGTTCTAGGTACCAAATCAGGAAGAAATATCCATATCAACATACATTATGCGCCAAAATATGCAGTGCTGAAACTCGCGCATCTAGAACGCGTATGTGCATTTGTCGACGGGGCATACTCCAGCCGCACGTATTCCCAGTAGTGAAAAGGAAGTTGTGTTGTGCAATTGTTGTTGGAAATGGGTCTCTCGACGGAGGAAAAAGTATTCATAGTTGAGTATTATTTCCGCTCATACGTAAGTGGTCGTCAGGCAACTCGCCTCCTTGGTTTTGAGCGGCCAGATGTTATCGTCCAGAAACCGCTACACAGTACACGTGTGACGATATGGTGTGCCGTCTCAGCACACGGTATATTAGGCCCCTATTTCATTGAGGATGAGGAAGGCAATGCTCTTACCGTCACCCAAGAATGCTACAGGGACATGGTGATCGGACCATTTCTTCAGAATTTCAGAAGGTTCTGTCTAGCAAGAGGCCTTCACATGAATAGACAGTGGTGTCAACAGAACTTTTTTTTTCCATTTCAGTACTGTATACGTATTTTGGCGCATACTGTATGTCCGGAAACATTTAATTTGTGAGTTATAGCTGAAAGAGTAATTTATAAGGGCTCAAAATATCCGCCATGAGTTCAATGCATGCCTCGACACCCGTCTT